ACCAGGTGAAAAGGCAACTTTTTCAGAGTACAAACAGTTTAAGAAAGTCTGCTGTATATTGACTACATGAAGACCTGAATTGCTTTAAAAATCTCATAAATCTATAAGAAAATAACATTTCCATTTAGTGTGCCCGACAGTTGGTAATGTCATTTAAAATGTCTTTTTCTTTTCCACAGATAAAACGATTAAATTGTGGAAAATCAGTGAACGAGACAAGAGGCCAGAGGGCTACAATCTCAAAGAGGAGGATGGGCGCTACAAGGACCCTAACACTATCACATCTTTGCGGGTCAGTTCTCAAATCAACCACTGGCTGGTTCAAGGGTGTGGTTAGTCAGACAAACCAGTAGTTCTTTGGAAGCAAAACTTTTAAAACCTGGGTGTGTCAGAAGTTGGGAAGGGCTACTGGTTTGTCATCCTTTGCTGTTGCTGATGGTAAAAATGACTGTTATTACTAATCCGGGCTGTCTTTTTAGAACCTTGTGTAACCTGTTATTGCAAAGCTAAGACTGTGTTCTGTGTTCCTGTATAAAGATATGATGGTGCTTCTTATTTTCATCTAGCTAATAGCTTGATGTTGTTTCAAATCTGTGAAGAGCTTTGAGCCAGCTAACTCTCACTGCCTTTTCTCATCACAGGTACCAGTTTTAAAACCCATGGACCTCATGGTGGAAGCCAGTCCACGGAGGGTGTTTGCCAACGCTCACACCTACCATATCAACTCTGTCTCAGTCAACAGCGACAACGAGACCTACCTGTCTGCAGACGACCTCCGCATCAACCTCTGGCACCTCGAGATCACTGACCGCAGCTTCAGTATCCTTAGATGCATGCGGGCATGTTTGTCTGTGCACCTGACTTGTGCATTAACCTGTCTGTCATCAGCCTGACGTTTTTGTCCAACTGGGGGTGAACAGTGAACATAAAAGCATCATTATTCCTACACCTCAGCGCAAACCGGCAGAAAGGTTCTGCCTCACTCACTCTACTGTGGCTGGTTTGCGTGTGTGCTCTCACCTCTGACACAGAACAGAAAAGATGGGGACTGAGATGTAACCTGGTCCATTGTTTTCTAAAGTCTTGCATGGAAAAACATAGCTGTAGCCATGTCCAGTGGCTAATATGACTGTCCTTTGTGGGTCTTCAGTGCAATGGGAAAACGGAAAAGACAAACAAAGAAATCTTGTAGTTCCATGAAAAAAACATTTCAGGACCTACATTGGGTCACACTGTCCTGCAATGGCTCTGCAGAGGTCCCAGAGGGATAGTTCCTGCAGTTCCAGCATGCACACATGCAAGGTACAGGTTGCCCTGAAATGGCCTATTAACTCTTGTGGTAGTAAACCAACTGTAATCGCCCAGTTTGAAAGTCACTTCAGCTTCTTTTGGTAGGTGTCAGAGTATGAAAGATGTTATCCCTCCTTACCCGCATGCTCCTCAGATATTGTTGACATTAAACCGGCTAACATGGAGGAACTTACAGAGGTGATCACAGCAGCAGAGTTCCACCCTCATCAATGTAACACCTTCGTTTACAGCAGCAGCAAAGGAACCATCCGACTGTGTGACATGAGGGTTTCAGCTCTATGTGACAAGCACTCAAAGTGTGAGTACCTACTCATCATACTTTTATATGTCCCTTCTTCTACCCTGACAGGCAGATTAAGTACTGGATTTGTTATGCAAAGCACTTTCATGTCACAGTAGACCTTTTGGTGAACACTGCAGTTTGACTTTTTTCATCTTTCTGTCATCCAGTGTTTGAGGAACCAGAAGATCCAAGTAATCGCTCCTTTTTCTCTGAGATCATATCATCAATCTCAGATGTTAAATTTAGCCACAACGGACGCTACATGATGACTAGAGACTACTTGTCTGTAAAGATTTGGGACCTGAATATGGAAACCAGGCCTGTGGAGACATATCAGGTGAGAATGACAAATAGAAACTAGTGTGTGGTGTCAGGTTTACTACACAGTTATGAACAGTTATGAAACGACTGGCAGTAGGTTCATACACTGATGCCCTGGTTGCCACAGAATCTTCAAATTGTGGCGATTAATTTGTTAATAACTTTGTGATTTTGCTGCTAATATTTTACTATCAAAATGATCATTTATTGTCATTATTTTGCATAGGAAATAATAGCATATAGATTTTTTTCATTACTGGAATGTAATAATCTCAGGTGGGCTCTTACTGTTTGCTATGTCTCTCAGCTAGAGAAAGGCTAGAAAAGGCTATAGGCATATTTTAGGAAATGTGATTGAGAGGTGATGCATGGAAAGAGGAAGGAGGATTGACACCTAATATTGTCTGATAGTGTCCACAGCCTGTTAATGAAACTCTGGTTTTCATATTTACTCATTTGATTTTAACATACTTTTAGTTTTTATTTTATTATATGCAGTGGAAATTCATGTCACAATTGGACAGTGGCCATTCTTTTTTCTTTTTTTTTGCCCAGTCATTCCTGGTAATGTAATATAGTGGCCACTAGGGGGAACCCAACCCTGAAAGATAGGGTTACAGATAATGACAGGCATTTTAGATGTTCTTTTTCACAGATTCAAGCACCTTCTGCTACTTTATGGGGGTGCAGGAGATTTTGAATATTGGAGGTTTGTCTTTTGGAAGTCTCATTTAAAAATTTCTTATCATCATGTTTCTGCCCACCCACCCACAAAAATCATTACAGGTCCATGAGTACCTGAGAAGCAAGCTGTGCTCGCTATATGAGAATGACTGCATCTTTGACAAGTTTGAATGCTGCTGGAATGGCAATGACAGGTAAAAGGTTTGAGACACACAGGGGGTAAATGCAATAATAACACTAGGAAATTACATAATCTTTCAGGTAGCACTTTGTTTATTGCTGTCATGATTTTAAAGATTACACCCTGCAAGTTTTTTTCCCCCCACTCTTTCTTTTTGGTTGGTGCACTGCACATTTAGCCTCGATCCATCAAACCCTGTTTGTGTAGCACCTTTCATTCAGGTTCAAAGTGCTTCACAGATATCTGCCAAAGCTGATAAGACAGAACAAATATATAGTAAAACTAATAATATGCAATGATAAGCAATTAAAGATAAATTTAAAAAAAAATCAAAGAAATGTAATATAAATGACTTAAGTGCATAGAGATTGCATAATTTAATATATTTGAATGAAGAAACATGAATGGAAAGTACAGCTAGATAAAATGCAGTAAAAAGATAAAAATGATAAAAGGTAGGAAAAATAATATGCTATAATCATTGGATATAAATAAAATAAACCAACGCAATGGTACATAAAAATAAAAAGCTTTCAAAGAACAAGTGATAAAATGATTATTAACCCTTGAACACTAAGGTCCGGTTTTTGTAACACCATCACTGATGTTTTCTGTAAAAATATATTAAATATATACACAATGGATGGGATTTGTTTGTTGCTTTAAAGCTGATTGACTTTTCAGCCTCCGGTTGCCTATGTAACCCTATAACATATTTATTACCACGTCATGTGTCAGTCAGAAGTAGTCTTAATTCATTGGTAGACGATTCAGTGACTTGCCAGGTTCTGCCCACTTTGTATAGCCAGTGGGCATTTCACCCATAAGCCTGGTTGAAGTTATCCTTAACTTTCTTATGATTTCTGGCAACCACGTACCTGGGAATCACTTCTGATGTGTAAGCAGTTTTAGAGTTGTCCTCTAATTGCCCATCACTTGTAAACTAGTGGTGCACAAAGTTTAAACTTTCTTTTCTAATGGACATTGTTTTTGGATAACTTGATTTGATGACTCTCACTTTTCCCACGTCTCCCCACCTACTCTGGGCAGTGTGGTGATGACCGGCTCATATAACAACTTCTTCAGGATGTTCGATCGCGGCCACAGACGGGACGTGACATTGGAGGCGTCCCGTGAAAACAGCAAGCCCATGCAGGTCCTGAAGCCCCGCAAGGTGTGCACAGGCGGCAAACGCAAAAAGGATGAAATCAGCGTGGATAGTTTGGACTTCAATAAGAAGATCCTGCACACTGCCTGGCATCCCCAGGACAACATCATTGCGGTGGCAACGACCAACAACCTCTACATATTCCAGGATAAAGTGAACTAATTGCAGGGTGAGCTTGTCACATCTGGCGCGGGTGATGTCATTTGTAACCACCCGCAGCCTCACAGCCTCATCCAGGGCCATCTGTGGTGGTAATGCCGACAACCAGCATCCCTGTCCGGCCCTACTGAGTGACCAGACTTTGCCACTAGATGTGGACAGAGGAGGACTTGCTTTTGCCCATCATCAGTCTGTCTGTGGCAGAGTGATGCCTGCCTTGTTGTTAAGTGATGTTGTGCCAATTTCTTTCTCTTCATCATCTTTTTTTTTTTTCTTTTGCCAACCCGCCTGCCCTTTACTTTTCTAATGTGGGTGAAACAAGTTTAATTTCCTTAAATTTCTGAATACAGACACACTTATTTTTATAAATACCCCCCCGTCCCCTAAAATGGTAGAAAATGAAAAACACCTAGTTTGTCCCATTATTATCCTGTGCCATTGTAGTGTTTACTTTTCTAAGAAAAGTTTGACCTTTGTTTTGTGTTCACTTTTTTTTTTTTTCCACAAATTCATCAGTTCTGCTGTCTGTTTTTGAGTGTCTTCACATTTCCTTTTTTCATTAAACCATACATTCATCACAACTTGCTGCTCATCTTGGACACATCCAGGATTTTGAGAAGTACAGTGTTTTTTTTCTTTTCTTTTCTTTTTTTTTTTTTTTTTTCTTGTTTTGTTTTTTGTTGTCCGCTCAGATTTGGTCCAGTGAGATTTTTGTTCTGCTTGCTGTTTCTGTCACTGTGCCTCAAGCTCTGGTTGGCCAAACAGGCCCAAACTCAGTAAGAGCTCCTTCTTTGGTTTTTTTTTTTTTTTTTTTTTTTTTTTTCCCCCTTGGGGTGTGTGAGTGTTCTGTGATATTTTTTTTGCATCGCTCTCTTCCTCCTGTTTTTTTTGTTTTTTCTTTTTTTTTTTTCTCTTGTCTTCAATAATAGTCAGGTATCAGCAGAAGGCCTATTCAAAGATAATTATGAATGGTTCATATTTATATTAAAAAGGTTAAAGAGTCAACAGGTTTGTTCCGTCCTATTTTGTGAGATGAAGCCTAACCTCAAAGCCTGACTTTCTTTTTTTTTTTTGAGGGGGGGATGGCTTTTTACCCCCCCAATCCTGTACCACAACATTCAGCTCAAGCTGCACTTCACAACAGGGAAGAACATCTAATTTGACACTGGACTTTGTTGCTGCACCAACTCAAGTATTTGGATGTCTGTGATGTGAGACTGCAATTTTTTTTTTTTTTTTTTTAAAGAAAAGATTTGAGGCATTACAGTGTTTAAACTACTGCAGACGTAACTGATACTGTAACTGTGATGGTGCAATGAGCCTCACAGAAGATCTGCAGCACTTGGATGTCTCCACACCCTATTTAAAAAGTGGACACTTAAGAGTATATTGATGCCTCTAGTAATGTATAACTACAATTTTAATCAATGACAGTGGGGGGGAAAAATAAAGGAACTACTTTTTGCATCCTTGTGAATGCTTGGTTGTTGGTGGGATCTCATCACTGCTCAACTGATGTTATGCTAAGCGTTACAGCTGGATTATCACAGAGCATTGTTGTTGACCTCATTAAACTCCTTCAGTTGGTAAGGGGACTTTTTTTTTTTCTTTTTAAAGCTGTTGCCCCATCATTCACCGTGCAAGACGTACGTGCAGTTGCGATTAAGGGAATACTTGATGAACGTGATAAAATTCAGCCGCTGAAAGTTTATTGAAATCAGCTGAAAGGGTGTCCACTTGCTGAAAGCCGGTAATAAACATTCATCTGGCTCGTGGCTTGACCGCGTGTGTACGTGGGGGCATACACGTCCCGTCCTGCATGGCAAACGCAGAGCCCGTGAGCAACAAATCCCGATGCTTAAAAAAAAAAAGAGAATTAAAAAAAATACTTTGGATCTTCTGTTGTTTTCCAATTATTGATGCACGTAATATACTGAGCTTTTGTTTTGGTTTTTTCCGCCTCGTTATGTAATTCGACTCGCCCTCTCTTCTCGCTTATCAACGGGAGGCTGTGATGTCATCACCCAGCTTCCCGGAGAGAGGGAGGGAGCGAAGGCGTGAGCGGGCTCGCGGGGAGACTGGCTGCTTCCAGACCAGCTAACGCTCGAAAACAAGCGACAGCTGTGCTGTAGCTTAGCTAGCTGCTGTCCCCCTCAACCCCCATCTTAAAGAGAAAAAAAACAAAAGGAAAAAAAGAAGCACACGACTCGGGTCTATTCTCTTATTACAACTCTGAATGTGTGCAGCTAAAACACTGCGCCTTTTGCACTGACTCGAGCCTTTTATGCAACCCATCCTGCTCGCCAGGCACGACGATGTCCGACGCTAACACTACTTCTACAGACAACAACGGAGACTCGGGGCTAAACGGTAAGCTAAATCCTAACCAAACTGCTCAACTGTGACAGCTACCCGGTCTATATTCTTTCTAAAATAATTTCTGGATGCATTTATAGTAGGTTTATTGCAGGGCTAACCAGTAATTTTGTATGCTTATGTATTTTTTTTTCACGGCGAAGCTGCCTACAAGGGGGACGGTTTACAGAACGGTATGTTCCGTGTGTTTATTGACACTGTTTGGGCCAATGGTGTTTTAGTTGTACGCGCGATTGACAGGATCCTAAGCCAATCAGCGATTGGTAGGTAGAACGTAGACGTGGGGTTTAAGCTTTGTCAACAAGGCTAGATCGAAAAAGTTCAAAGTGGCAAAAATGGGGAAATGCATTTTGGTAATTTAACCTGAATCGTTCGTGTCGTGGAAAGTAGCAAAAAGAAATTTAGAAGACTTAAGTACTGTCTTTAAGATTTTCGTTTGCTTGGATTTTTGAGGTTACTTCTGTCGTTCATGTAACTTTTTTCCCGTCGACATAAGTTTTTGTTGATAAGCGGAATTAAAACTTAATATTCTTTCTTTTTTCCCCCTCTGGTTTTCATCTGCTTTAATTTATTCTGCCAAATAAATGTCTGTTTAAACATTTGCACTTTGTTTTTTTTGTTTTTTTCTAAACTTTAGTTTCGTAGTTTATTAACTAAGTCCATTGGTATTTATAGAAAGATATGAAATAAATATTTTACTTAAGACCATTGTTTGCATTGAAATCAGAATCAGAATACTTTATTAATCCCAAGGGCGAATTGTTTTGTTACAGATGTTCATTTATACAAATATGGAAAATCTCTAAATATATAAAAAAAAATTCCAAAAAATACCCAAAAAAAATAAGTAAAACTAATGTTAAATTAAAATTAAATGTCGCGAAGTTAATCTAATGTTATGTACAGTATAGATGTGATATAAGTGGAAAAACACCTAGGTTTCATCAGGAGCATTTATAAAGTTTGATTTCCTGTGTTTGAATGAGTCTTTTGCTGAACTTGCCTCTATGGCTCTCCATCTTGTGCCTAACAGCTACAAGGGTGTGAAGGATTGTCCAGTATTGACCGCAACTTGGCTAGCATCCCTCTGTCTAAAACATGCCCTTAAAGGTGGTGTGATTAGAACGCTGACACTCCGGCTTACTTAAGGGGGACTCTGCCTAGACAGCTTTTGTGATTCAAGTTTTACAACATAAATAGCGTGCAATGACTTGGCATGCCATTTTTGGCCACAACGACAAGGGGACAGACCTTATACACATGACGAAAGAAATTGGTTGGGGAGGTGAGGAGTATGATACAAGAGGCAGCATGTAAGAACACAGAGGCTGCTTAATTTTAAGCCAAAGTCTGCTGGATAGGAAACAAACTTTCCAGCTGGTTTTCACACACACACATCATTTTGAACAACCAGTGGAGATTAGCTGCTTCTAAAAAAGGCTAGAAAATTGCCAGTTTTTGGTCACTGGATGGTAAATGTATTCCACCCGAGTTCATGGCAGACATTTTTAATATATTTATGAAACAGCCTGTTGAATATCATCTGCCCAAATTAGAAGATCAAAAAGAAAAAAATGTGGATCTCAGTGCATGTACTGTTTGTGTTGTCACAGAAAAACCTGTGACACACCTATAAGGACAGCTAGCCCTTGTGCTTATCACAAGGGAGAGGCCAGCAGTGCACTTTGTAATCTGATTCTTTTTAGGTGTTTTCTCACTCACACCAGTGTCATAAATATAGTTATGTAATCCCAGGGGTCTTGAGTCCCAACATGCGACCATGGATAAGCTTTAGCCTTAACATCATGTCTCACCCCTATGAACCCCACCAACAGCTGATGGCTGGGCTGGGCCAGAATGTTCGGATGCATCAGCACCATGGTAACGTGGTTTTAGTCCACAGAGTGGAGACAATGGCCTGTCAACAGCAGCTTGGCTTGCAGTCCACCGTGTAATCTGCAGGATGAGTGCGAGTGCTGAGTCGAGGCCTGTTAAGAGGGGGGGGGAGGGGTGTGTGTGGGGGGCTGCACCCTTTGCTTTTAACTGACCTGTTGTCTATGAAATTCTATGCCACATGGTGTTTACATACTGTAATGGTAATATTTATGAGGACTTCCTCCTCCTTTTTTTTTTGGTGGAGTAGGAGGAGAAAGTGTTTTAAAGCTACGTAAAGATTCCCCCCACCCCCTTCTCAAAATTCTAGACTTGGGTAATCTGCCCCCCTCTAAATTTGTAACTCATCTCTGACATGCTGTACTCTTTAGTTACCAGTTCATGTCAGACATCACGTACAAATGGGGACAGCGTCATATATCACAGCCACAGCACATTCTGTACACTAGGTGCTCTTTCACCACAGGGCTGTGAAAATGACATTACTTTTTAGCATCTTCAACTGCCAGTTTTGGGCACCCAGCTTGTCTCTTTCCAGGAAATTCCCCTCAGGAAGTGATTGTTGACATGCTCTGTCTTTGTTGTCTTGCATGTTTTTGCTTGGATTTCCTAGTAAAGGCCGCTTTACCTTAATCAGAGGAAATGCTGTGGCTTTGTCACACCCTGTACCAGCCATAAAACAAAAGGCAAATATTGTGACAGGTCGTGGCAGGATAACAACAGGTGCAATTTATCATCTGAATAACCAGTCAGATGCCAGCTGAGAGTAATGTCTTCCAAGGCTCCAGCTAAAACTTTGCCGCTTTCTCCAGTAGTTCAAGGAATCTGTCACCCTGACATAAATCGGTCAAATTCTGACTAATGTATGTAGACATGCAAAACTCAAAGATTAAAAAAAAAATAAAGAATAAATAATAATAATCAGTGGCTTTAAAGACTTCCCCGTGTCTCTGGGGAAAGGCCTCCCAGACCTGACGTATAAGCACTTTCCTGATGACTTGATGGACTCAAATGGTCATTTCAGGTCACACTTAATGTAAGTTTTGGTCACTTACAGCCCTGGACCTCGTTCAGACATCTCTATTTAAATTATTATAATAATATCTTTTTGATGATGGTTACTTGTTCTACACTTTTACTTAGTACATATGGGAAAAAATGTTATGTCATTATAAAACCATTCTTTGCGTATGTTACTGTGCTTTCCATATTATCCATGATTGTGGAGATAAATTATGATTTGAACAGGTTCTACAGGCTTAAAGAGTGGGAAATTTGAAAGCTTACAGTTGATTCACTTCCTCTTTTTAAAAATGTAGATGATGAAAAATTAAAGCCATCGATAACTCCACAGTTTCGATGGCTGTGGAGGAGAAGGGAAACAGTTTTCCCTTCTCCTCAGGTTAAGAGCCTTGGTGTCATCCTGGACAGTTCACTTTCCTATAAATCTCACATCAATAATCTCACCCGTTCTGCAGTTCTCTTTTGCATGGTCTCCCCCAAAAATCCCTCCATAAGCTTCAACTGGTTCAGAACTCTGCTGCTCGCATTATCACCAGAACCCCCTCCTACCAGCACATCACCCCTGTTCTTCAGGAACTTCACTGGCTCCCTGTGAAATTCCGGATAATTTTCAAACTTCTTCTGCTCACCTTCAAGGCCATTCATAACCTCGCTCCTTCTTACCTTTCTGACCTGTTAACCACCACCTGTTCTGCCCGTTCACTTCGTTCTTCTTCTTCTATCCAGCTTGCTGTACCTTCCTTCCGCCTCACCACCATGGGAAGCAGAGCTTTCAGCTGCTCTGCTCCCAGGCTGTGGAACTCTCTGCCCCCAGAAATAAGAAACACTTGGTTCTCTCCCCCAGTTTAAATCCCAACTCAAAACTCATCTGTTCAAATCTGCATATTCACTGTGAATCCACTGTTTGTTCATTTTATCTTGTGCTTTTATTTTATTGTTCTTATTCTGCAATTGTTTTACTAAGTGTTTTATCCTATTGTAAAGTGTCCTTGGGTGACTTGAAAGGCACTCATAAATAAAATGTATTATTATTAGAACTGTATTTAATGAGATTTCCTTTTAACAACTCCCATTTTTCTATATGAGGCTAATTAGGAGAGAGTTGATAGCTGTATGCTTCTATCAACACACAGTGAGTTGGTAACAAATAGTGTTTACGGTTTAGAACAAAACATACATTTTTAATGGATAAAAAATGTTCTGGGGCATTAGGTATACCCATATATGATATATACTTTTATGGCTTGAATGCAATTCAAGCCCACACCAGACTTCCAGGTTTTTCCTGCAACTGTAACTTGAGAGCAGGTGAACTACCCCCATCCCATTTGAACAAAACTTCAACTATCCATTGTTGTTTATCTCTCTGCGAGCAAAAAAAAATTGACAGTGGTCTGCTCTTTTTTTTTTTCTCTCCTGCTCTCTATTGTGTGGTCAGACCTGCTGAGCTGTTTCCTCATGGAGAGCCTGCTTGAGGTTCCTCTTTAGCTCTGTGCAAGCCAGTAACGGGTATAAACAAGTTTACTTAGAACCAGCAACAACTCGAAACTCATTACTGGGCACGACAGTGAGTTTCAAAGGCTAAGAATGCTTAACTTTAATCAGGATAGTTAATGACCTATCCCGCACAGCTCTAGGATCTGGCCTGTTAACTGCAACCCATCAAGGTTTAGGGTTTGGTTTTATTTCATTCACAAGCTAAAAAGGCACATTTTTGGAAATTTACATTTTAAACATGTCCTGTCATTGTGTCTGGTTCGTTTGTCTGTAATTATTTTATAAAAAGTGGTGGATGTTAACTTTTTAAAAAACAATTTGGTTAACTGTTTGATAACCTGAATACTTGTTTTCAAGTCCATGCACAGGGAAGCATGTGCACGCGTCTCCCTTTTTGAAAAGCAATGCAAAATTTAATCTAATCTTTAGCTTAACACATGTCCATAGAGTCAACTGGATTTCTAAAAATAGAAGCTGGCTCATGTTTATACAAGAAGATTTAAGATAACAATGGTTCTCTTATCACAATATAAACAATCTTTTTGTTTGTAATTCTAATAGAAAGAAAAGATCCAAGAATATTTTACTGTTATTTTTTTGTAAATAAGTAAAAGACCAACAAATGGAAAGTAAATGGTGTTTCTTGAACTATAACTTTGGCCATTTAAACTCAAAGTTCTTGTAGATTCAGAAGCCGCTAGTTTTCTATCTGCTTGTTGCAAGAACACATTTTATGAGAGATTACAGTTAGCCTAGCAGCAAAACTCTTCTCTGTTTGAGTGAAGATGTTTTAAAATGAAGCTTTAACTCACATCAGAAAGAAACAAATACTGAATAATATTTCTGTGTTTTCTCCCTCAGGGTCCTGGGTGGAGTTGGAGATGAACAGAAATCACCAAGCCCAGTCATTGTCAACAGTTGACTCTGTTTCGGGCCTGCTGCCGCTCCCTCAGGTGGAGGAAGAGGAGGCCATAGTGGGAGGCTTGGAGCATGTCCCATCCTCTTCTTCAATCCACAACGGAGACATGGAAAAGATCCTTTTGGATGCCCAGCATGAATCAAGCCGCAGCAACTCATCCTGTGACAGGTACTTTTATGAACAAACATCGCTCAAGCTCCTCCATATATCTCTAACCTATTCAGTTTATTCTTAACAACAAAGTTTCATTTTTAGTGCAAATATTAAAACTTTCAGAATAAAACCAGCTTAGTTGCAAAGCTTCCTGTATTCCCAGATCTGTTTGACATTAAACACAGATTAGGACACGGGAGTTTAATCACGATCAAGAGTCAAGAAAGTCATTGGTTCATAAAGGCCTGTATTTATAGAAGATTTAGTCACATGAGGAAGTTGATTCCTCTCCAGCTTTTTCCTGTGATTTTTCTCTCAGTGTAAAGCTACATGCTTCAGAAATGCAGATTTAAAAAAATAAAATAAAATTATTTTTTGCTAAAGCCATATGAATTGCTAAAATAAATTTATGCATATTTATGTTCTTATTACGTATTATTCTTAGAAGTTAAAAACTGGAAACAGTTATCTTAAATTGCACAATTGAAGCCCTTTTTACACTAACCTAACAGGCAGCATGTATTAGCAAGTCAAATGCCTCTGAAGTAATACCGGGTTTTGGCTATGATGACCTTATTTTCACCTGATTCTTACCAGTGACATGCTATGACAGGGAATAGTACTCAATGAAGTGTTAGCTCACTGTGCTAACAGCCTATCAGATGTGATATCTTCAGGGCACAGTGTAAACACACCTGTCACCTGACTAGCATGATGGTGTTAAACCAGAAACTATGCTGCACTTTTTTTTTCTTCTATTGTTTTTCCTGGCATATGTTTATTTACAAAACCAGCTTTTATCTGTGCATTTTGGTGTGAAAACCCTACAACCCTTGAGAAAATTGCTTTTAGGCTCCATTAAGACTTTGTGCAACATAAAAACTCTTACAAGGTGTTAAATACTGGGCAGTTTGCTTCTAAAAGCTCGTTGGGAGCGGCTTCTCTGTCACAATAAATCAGATTCAATTCAGAGTTGAAAGGGTCTCAGTCGACTTGCTTCTTCTTTCCTTAGCAGACTTCACAATTTATCTGGCATGTAAGCAACAAACTGACCCTTTGCCCCACAGCCACATCGTGTGCTTGTGTGTAATGCTCAAAACTGTGATAAAAGGGACCTTATCAGTCCGCTGTCAGCAAGTCACCTGAGCACAATTTCAGATATTTGAGCTGAGAGCAGTGTATCAGCAAACCGCTCAGAAATGATCAGGGACACAAGCACTTGACATATATTTTGTCATAACACTCTCAGAGCAAGGCTGGTGTCATTTTGCTCAGAGGCAATTAGGCAAGTGTTTTCTTTACTTATCTTTCTGAGATGCTTTGCACACATTTCATCAGAGGGGTCAGAGTGAAGGAAGAGCAGCACTTTAAAGGACTTCTAACTCATAGCAAATAAATACAAGCTACAAGTTGGCATTTTAATCCTGTTATTCATATTAAGTGATTCATTTGTTTAATATTTCACAGATCCATGATGACGATGCATTTATAGTGCTTGTGGTACGGCAAGGCGGATGTGCTGTGGAATAGGCTTTAGTGGTATTTGTTTATAGATTGTGTGAAGTACACTTTAATATTGCAATACCACCCAGACCTGGGGCTTTTTTCTACCCCAAGGTTAAAATAATATAGGGAGCCTTCATTTTTGGATTTTGTTGTCTTGGGTCATACGATCCAGTCCAGCCTAGTGTTGCAATGTAAACTAATGCATAAAGACTGTGTATTGCTGTGTGTCAGATCACTTTGATAAGGATCCACCAGCTGGTACTGGTACAATAAATGCTGATATTAAAGTAATATTTTTTCTGTATGTAGAACACATTACCACAGCATATATGCGCTTTTGTACTGCTTTGATAACTGGTGACGCAAAAACATGTACATCACTTGTTCACTTTAAAGTTACATGAGGGAATTGTCAAATTATTATTATTATTATTTTTTTTTTTAAACCACAGCCCCCCACGACCTCACTCTCCCCAGGATGAGGGTCAGATCATCTTTGACGCGGAAAGAAGAGACAGCCAGGTAAGACGTAAGCATATGTATGCCTATCATATGCTTCATCAGTCTGTTGCCATGGCAGCTTCAACCACTGGCCCTGGAGGGGGATGACAGCCGTTGCCTGCCTTTAGTTTCCATGGAGATGGCTGCCACACCCAGTGTGTATTTCTGTATCGTCTGCACAGCCTGTCATCAGCATTATAGTTTTACTTATGTGTTTTCCTGGTGTCAGACATCTGAAAACATGGCATGCACATGCTCAAATATTCCAAACAAGTCTCGTTTGTCCTGACAGACAGGTTGTGAGGGTCCTAAAGGCTGCAGGCTTTTATTGCTAAATTACATGTTTTTATGCCTTTAGTCTGAAGAGGATGTCTTGGACAAGGAGAAGGACATGGACATCTTGATGAAGGATGCAGATTGGGTTGCAGACTGGTCTAGTCGACCGGAAAACATTCCCCCCAAGTAAGTCTGAACTCTGTAAACATCAGCCTTCTGCGTGCAAGTGATCATGCTCAGCTGCTTGTTTGTGCAGAGAAAGGAAATGATCATTATGGTAATAAAGTCACTCTAAAGAACAAATACGAAGCCAGCTGCTATAAGGTGTCAGCTCTGATGCTGGAATAAAAACTATATATTACTTAAACCCTTGAAAACCTAAAGGTTTCTGTAATGTATCTCAGATAAATGTGCACGACATCTGTGATACAACCTAAGATCTCATGCATACATGACACATCTCTTTTAATTGGTACCAGCTTCGAAAATGCTGTGGGATTAAAACTAGTTGATTAATCACTTAGTTTTCTTCACATCACAGTGTTTTTCAAATTGCTACTTTTCTCCAACACGTGAGGTGTTTTAAGGTGTGCAGGTATAAAACAAAGAAAAGGTGCAAACTCTTACACAGAAAGAGCTTGCTTGCTTCATATGTGACTGAAAGTTATGTTTACCTTTTATTGAGAGGCATTAGGTTATGAAGCAACTGTTCTGCATCTATAATGCGTGTGTTTTTAAACAGGGAATTTCATTTCCGGCACCCCCGACGCTCAGTAACGCTCAGTATGAGGAAGACTGGGGCCATGAAGAAAGGAGGCATCTTCTCTGCCGAGTTCCTCAAAGTCTTCATCCCCTCGCTGCTGCTATCACACATCCTCGCTCTGGGGCTGGGGTAAGAATCAAACACCACAGATCACCTGTGCAGCGTGTGTTATGTCTAAAGCAAGACTGACAGTAGTTAGTGAAATTTGCTCAACTGATTTATTGATTTATTTTTTTTAAATGTATGTCAAAAAAGGATAAAATCTTTAAAAAAAAAAAAAAAACCATGTTGTTGTACATAACCCCAGCAGGGGGAGCTGTATAACCACAGACGAACATCAGCTGCAACCACTCTTTTGAATGTTGGCAGAACAGCTGCAGACTAAAAGGCTGCACACCTGCTGCTTCATAGTGACACTCCCAGGGGTTCCATGTGATAACACATGCTACAATAATCTTGGCTCCCCAGTCAGACACAATCATTACACAGCATTAATACTTCAGACATCATCTGCTGAACATGATGTGGTATTCAGTGGGAGATATTAACAAACCAATCATATTGGGGGGGATATGTCTGCTGGGCATTTGCATTCAAACTAAAGGGTTGGTTTTAGAGTGAAATGTATCCAATGCAAAATAGTATTTAGCATTAAATCTGCAGATTAAGCAGTCATTGTGACTTGGCAGTCTCCAGGAGTTGCTTTGGGAAGTTGTTTAAAGCAGTAACTAAGTAACGTTATTATAATGGGACCCTTGAAAGCTATAGTTCTAGCACTGTCATCTACCTTCCCCATAGAGTTCAATTCAGTTTGACTTATGTAGCACCAGTAGTTTTCAGTCTCGTGTGTCTCATATAAACTGGCTCTCCCAAGTTTGGAACCACTGGTTTAATGTCCACTTACTTTGAATGGATTCATTGAAAGGTGACAGAGTAATTGAGGTACCCCTACCTCAGATCAGGCTTTAGGCACCTTGCCTAGCTCATTGATTAAACCACCACACACAGTCGTGTTTAACGTCATTTACCTTCTTTTCAGGGTCTACATTGGCAAGAGGCTGACCATGCCACCCACCAGCTCTTTATGAGCATGAACATGAAGAAAAGTGCCTCAGAAGTGGGCAAGCGTCAGAGGAAGTTTTTCTGTCGTGAGAAGAATGCTTGTCTCTCCTTCCTGTCCTGCTTGCCCCTATTACCCCTCCTAAACCCTGAGATATGACATGTTCTCAGGCGAAGTGCATCCTCTTCCTCCTCAGCCTCCCCTCCTTCCTGCCTCTTGTTTTGTTTTTGTTTTTTTTCTTGATCTACTGTTCTTACTGTCTGTTGATACTCCCCCTACTCTTGACCTCCCCAATATCTTTCACTAATTTGCATAAACTTTTCAGAAATGAAGGTCATATTTCCTTTTCCTCATCAGTTGGAATGTTTATAATGCATGGGTTTCCAGGGAGGGTTGCAGCATCAAACCAAACTCTTCTTCTACACATGCTGTTTTAGTGCCCTTTTGACTAACTGACAAGGAGGGAGGACTGTTATAGAACTGACCAGAGATTGTGCCACCTGCAGGTGTAGCCCAGTACTCGACCTTGGAAGCAAATTCAGACTTGGCTACGCAGACTAAAAATGTGACCATGCCTTTTTCAGAGTAGCCATTTTATTTAGATTATTATTTTTTTTTTTTTAAATAATTTATTTTGTAATGATGGTGGTTTACTGAGAAGTTTTAAATAATGAAAGGCGTTTCCACAGTGGCCAACCCATACCGCAAGCTCTCATGAAATTCACTGGAGGAGTCTGGCTCTGTCTGCCGTTAGATTTATGTGACAATATGCAGTTATGTGCATACGATTGCATATTTTGCTTGGTGACAGGAACTGGAATACAGGTTGTAGATGGAAAGGCAGGCAGCGCGTCCCATTCGGTGTGTACACGAACAGTATTTTACATACACCAATATGGTTGGGTAACAGTGGTGTATGTTTCAGGAAAGGTTCATCTGTCTGTCCAAACTGTGAGCGTCCAAGTTGTCCTTTCAGTAAGCCTCCTGGTTTCTGCGGAGCATAACTGATCATTTCCTGCATGTGTGTTTTTTTTTTTTGTTTTGTTTTGTTTTTTTAAACTCTAGACTGGGCTGGACTTTACGCGATTATAGTTTCAAATTGGTGCACGCGTTGTATTGTTCAAAGGTTAGATACCAAAAGGCCTAAAAGTGAGATTTTGATTTGAGATTAAAAAAGAAGTTAGATATTTTCTTTGAGAACATTGAGTGTTTAGAGGGTATCTCATGAAACAAGTTACTTTTATACATGGAAATTTACTTCCAAAGATTTTAGAGCCATTAAGGAAAATGATACAGCCAGCCGTGCTTCCTGACACTCCAACAGGTTTGCCAAAACAAAAAACGAGGAGAATTAACTTGACGCTGCAGATGAAGGGATCAATTTGGATAGGCAGAAGGTACCCAGTGGTTCTCAATCTTGTGCATGTCTATCTCTCTTTCGTGATGCTGCAGCAGCTTCTGACTGACTGGAGGAAAGTTTGTGTAAACACAGGCTCTAATGTTAGGACGGCTGTAGCATGCATGGAAAACTTTATCTCTGAAGCTGATCAGTTTGTCTGAGCCAACCTGGGTCCAGATGACTTGAAGTCAGTTAGCGTTTCTGCAGAGTTGATTTGGAGTCGATATGCACTCCACCTGCAGTAAATGTTTTATTTTATTTTGTAATTATTTTTAGTCATCGAGGAGTAAGCTGAGTGCTTTTAAGTTTTCTTCCCCTTATCCACTTGCTCCGAGTCTACTCTGTTGATGTTCGCGTATCAGCATATAGCACCACAATGAGTTCCTGTAAGTCGCCACACAACACGTTTGCTTTACCTTGACCGTTTCTTCCCGTTTATGACACAAAGTCAAGCATAAATGCAAAATGTTAACAAGGACTTGTTCCCTTTTCAAAAATGAATTTCATTGTGAAATTTTACGGTACAAAAGAAGAACATACAAAATCTTAAAGGATACGGGGACAGTAAAATGTGACTCCTCATCATGCATACAAGCTGACTCAAAGACTGGCTAAGAACCACTTGCGGGGTGTGGATGTTCTCATTTCAGCCACAGAGATACTAATCTTTTTCTTTCTGCCTATGTTTGTATGTGCAGCATTTGAAAGTGGTAATCCTTCTCTCCTGTGTAGTTTGTTTTTGAAATGTTTTTGTTTTTTTCTCCTCTCTTGGTGTTGGACAAAGATTGTGAACGCACAGGAGTCATGTTGGACCTGGATCATGATTTAAAGTGTGAAAACAAAAGACCTCCATTGTTGATGGCAGGGCCTAATGTGAATAGAAATGGAAGGAGCTGAAAGACTCATGGTATGAAAGTGTTTATTGTAATGCTACATTTGCTTTAATCTCTTTTTTCCCCACTACATTGGAGAAGATAATGGACATTTTCGTCATTAAAGATTACCTGAATGAAGCAATATGATTGTACTTTCTTTTTCTTTATCTTGAAAGTTGACAACCTGAAGTTTAAATTTTATTTTCGGAAAGAGGAACCACCTTGCAGTTCTTACAAACCTCAATTTAATATTCAGATAATTTTCAACTGCTTTGTTTTGATGTTGGCTTTGCAATATTTAAATTAATCTTTTGAAGCTGTTTAAAGTAGTCTAATCACCCAGTCACATGGCAGCAACCTACTGCATTTAGCCTGTACATATGATCATGACCTGCTGAAGTATAAACTGAGGATCAGACTGGGGAAGACAGGCGATTTAAGTAACTTAAACCAGATGGGCTGGTCACAGTATCTCAGAAACTACTGAGCTATTGAACAGTTTTTACAACCAAGGCAGGTAGAAGGGCATATCTGAATGCACAATGTATTGAACCTTGAAGTGGATAGACTACAAAAAATCTATACCAGAAGTTTGGAAAAATGTTGGCTGGTTTGAGTCTTGATCTCTGCTGTGATGTTTGGATGGAAGGGTCAAAATGTAGCGTAAACAACATGAAAACGTGGACCTGCCTTGAAGTTTCAGGTGTAATGGTGTGATGCTATAATACCAGCCTTGGTATTTGGTGAGCATCATGTAAATGTCACGTCTTACCTCAGTATTGTTGCCGACCAGTTCCATCCCTTTATGACCACAGTTTTCCCATCTTTTGATGGCTGCTTTTAGAAGGATAACGCAACAAAACTCACGTAATCTCAAGTTGTTGAACATGACTATGAGCTCACTTTACCCAAATGGCCTCCGCAGCCATCAGATCTCAATCCAATTGATGGAATGGGAGTTTCCCACCTTTGATGTGCAGCTCACAAATCTAAAGCAACTGTGTGATGCCATCATGAGGAATGTTTCATTGCCTTGTTGAACCTGTGCCAGAAATTAGAGTAGTTGTGAATTCAAAAGGGTGTCCAACCTGGTATTAGGTCTACCTAATGAATTGGCTGTGAGTGTATATTTTTAACTTCAGAGGACTCAACTTTGCTTGTCTTATTTGTAAGAATAAATTCTAGCTAGAGTTTGATTTTCCTCTGACTTACTGTACTTCCATAGACAGCTACTATGAAAAGTCCACAGCTATTACTTTGCAATCCAGTCCAAAAACTGTGCTTTCCTGATGAGTTAGCACACGTAACTAAGACCTGGGGCATCAAGCTTCTCTGGAAATTCCTTTGAGCTCTTGACCATTACAGTGTTAATATTCTCAGAGCAGAGAAAGAAATGTGGCTGAGGTTGCCTTTTAAGAGATAATGAAATGCCCCAAACTCAAATTTCAGTTAACATTTTGGTAAATTATACATTTAAATGCTTTTGGAATGTCTCTCCTTGTTTTTAAATGTGCATACCTGTCTATTAAAAGTCTTACCAATCAGAAGATATTATTTCTTTTATTTTTCTTCTTTGAAACATCATCTGGATATTTTAGCTGCACAAAGCAGAAGCAGGAAGACCTTCTGGTTTGATTTTAGTGATTAGAAACAGTCCCATAGGACCCCTGAAGAACACAACTTTAAAAGCTTGAAGCTCTGCTCTCAAGTGGGAGGTATTCTGCAACATTTTCAACAATCTTTTCCTCAGTAGTTTAGATAATACCACAGTCAGGGTACATGAACCTCATAATCTTATCCATCTGTTTGTTTAAACTGCTTCAGTGATGTCAGAGGACCAGCAGTGAATATCATCAGCCATCACGAGGTTTAAATGTAAGAGATCAGTTTTAGTTCTAAAAATAATCAATCAAAATTCAGAGTTTGAATGCACTAGTCAGTTGTGGCCTTTCTCTGCAGAGTATGTTTTCTCTTCTCACAGTTCAAAGCCAGTTAGCTTAATGAGTGATTCTAAACCGACCTTGGGCATGAGCCTGCGTGGCTGTCTTGCCCAGTGGCAGCTGGGATATGTTCCAGGCCGACATGACTTTCAAGGATAAAGTAGGTTTAGCTAATGGATGGCTGCATTTCTTTGATCAGGGCACTTAGTTACTGTAATGAGCTTCTGAATGACTTAGAATAACCTAATTGATATAAAGTAACTTAAGTAGTAAACATAATATACAGAAGTGCACTTAGCCCACTTAATCAGTTTAACATCTGGGAAATTTACTAGTTGTATTTACTGGTTGTAAAGGGAAGCTGCTATTCTGCAAAATTCCTACTGATCTGTGATGCAAAGACATTTGATTCTCCAGACTCTGGTTCATGATCAGCTGATTGAGAGTCAGGATCTGGTTTCAAACTCCAGCAAGAAGATGCTTACACACAGACTGTGTATGGCATCTCCTGTAATGAAGCAAAAGTGTCAAAAGTAACACAAGAGAAGATCATCTCATCCTGCACACTTTATGAAACACAAAACGGGATGATGTGGCACTCTACAGGTTTCTAAGGGATATTTTGGTCAACCTGTAGAAATACCAGAAGTTTGGATAATCCAAAGTAGCAGAAAACCCCCACACAGAATAATCACAGACAATAAAATAATTGATCTGAAGGCAGCCCCATCCACCTCAACCCAACAATGCTTCCACCGGTCCTCCTCCATCTTCCCTATATGGAACCTCAGCACACCTGTTCCTAGCCAATCCGGACACAGTGTGACACATAGCCCCTCCCACTGCAGCTGATGGCGTTACCATGGGTTACAGGGTGGTGGCCAGCTCCATCTCTCCCTCTTGTAAGGAGACTTTCTTCCCCTTCTTCTCAGGATTCAGCAGAATACACTGCAGCAGCACACAAAGATACTGAAACAGAACAAAACACAGCCCAACAGGTTTGATCAGGGTGTCTGTTCCTGCTTGTTTCCATCAGTAACTCATTTCCACTCATTTCCCACTTCCAACTGAAATTACCTTTTGTATTTATTGTAAGCATTTTTATTTTCTTATTTTGAAAAGAAAAAAGGTCTTCAGTAAGCAGAAGGCTCCTTTAAGTATCTGAATTGTCCGATCTTGTTTATGTTCAGATACTGATACGAGGGGGATTTCCTTCGAGTGGTGGGGTCACCTCCTGATCCCACCCACTGATATTGTGAGTATTGTTAGGCTTACAATGCCCCAAACTCCCAAATAAAAACACAGACAGAATCAGAGGTGGAATGTAACTTATTAAAGTACGTTACTAAAGTAAAGTTTTAATGTACTTGTGTTTTATTGAAGTATTTCCTTGTTAAAACTGATCATTTTATTTAAATAGGATTACGACATTAACGTCTCAGAGACATCAATGGGTTGTTGTGTATGATTCTGCTGATAAGCAAAGAATAAGCAAAGAATAACGTTCAGTGACCGAAAAGCACAATTTTGCTTACTTCAATCTACAATTCATTAAAAAACAACAACAAAAGACCTCAATTACATCAGTGTCTGTGCCTCTTCAGTGTAAGATATCAACCTGGCTGCTAGGCTAACATTTTAATGGTATTTGTACAGTAGATGAAAATTTTTAAAAAATGAATTCTCTTCACATAACCCTTGTAACTTCTTTCTACTGGAATAATATTTTCCACTGGAATAATATTTTCCTGTGTAAGTTGCAGAAGTTCTGTTGTAGCAGAAAAACAATGAGTGTTGAACTTTATGGAGACATTTTGAATGATTCCATAGACACAGAGTCAACCAGTCCCCCCAAACCTTCCAGCTTCTCTGATTTCATTTGGACTTTTCTAAACCTACTTCATTACACTGATGCTGGAAACCATGTCATTTGTAGAGAAAACTATGCAAAATCAGGCAGCAGATTCTTCGCCTGTGCTTTTCTTTTTATGATAAATTAGCACCAGCTCAGTGATGACCCATGCTCAGTGATTTGGGTTTCCTGAAAAGTCTAGGTTTCCATTCCTCCCCCATAGTATCAAACTGGCTGCCCTCAAAACTGACAAAGTGCTGTGTAAATTGAACTGAACAGGGCTAATAATCTAATCCAATAAGTATGTTTTGGTTGGAGCAGCCGATTCCAGAATCCACTCGTACTGCTGATCTCCCTGCTTGTCCTACATTTGTTACTGGATGCCAGAGCCGTGCCCTTCCTGTCCAGAGACCAGACTCTCCCTGTGCCTCTTCCAACTGTTTATCGGGCACCCCGCCAACTTTCCCTTCTAATTATCTAACGCTGCCCCCCACCCCCCGCCCCTTGCTCTGCTCTCAGCAGGGGACTTTTTTTTTTTTTAGTGTAAAGACAGTTCAGGATAAAGGCAGGAGGTGTACGGGTGTCAGGGCACACTCTTGGCCTTCAGGTGTGGCTGTACCCCAGGCATGTTCACCTTTCAGAAGCCACTGCTGGCATTCACAAATCAGACTTTGCCATCTTCCTGCAGGAATGACCCACACCGCCCACACACACACACACACACACACACACACACACACACACACACCCCACACACCACCACACACACACACACACACACACACACACACACATGCAGCCCTCTGGGAGAGGGAATAGTAGCAGGAAAGCCATTTGCTGCCCACCACGTTGTTATGGAAACTGTGCGGACACGGACTCTTGTGCAGGAGAGCTTTTGTCTGTCATGCTTGAAGTCAGGAATCAACAATGTGTTATTAGAATCAGCTGTTACAGCCTGGTCTTATTGATCACCATGCAACACTGATTTATTTATACCTCAAACACATCTGTTCTCTGTAAGGCTCATCTGCAAATGTTCTTTATAACCCTTCACTTAACCTCTAGCAACACATATAAAGGACATATATATAAATCTGCACAGGCTATCTGACTGTTTTTCATGTGACTTCACTTGGTGAGTTAAGTATGATATTTTTAAACCACACAATGTCCCGGTGTTGAGCTAAGCCACACTTTATAAACCACACTTTAGTCATGTGCTTGCGTTATCTATAATTACATTTATGACTCTTTGTAGTGTTAAAGCGTTTGTTGCTGTGTTGGTCGGGAGAAAGAAAGGTCTTTATGAAAGAAAAGTTATTACTTTTATGTATTGTTTTCCAATGTCCA